TTTATAGTTTAAAATATTATCCGAATTTATTAACGTTTTTCAATGTTTCTCAGTTGATTCAAATGCAAACTCTTAAATATCTCAATGTACGAATAACTGGACTTACACCACTCATTTATTTTAATGACTCATATATTACCATTGATTGTATACTTACATTTTTAATAGATTTCATTAGTAAAGACATACTTTGAAAAAGAAAGTATGAGATTGAGAGAGAGACAAAAAATGAATCTAGAAAAAGCAGAAATTCTCAGAAAAGAAAAAGAATCAGAAGTTATTACTAAAGCATTAATAGAGCAAGATAAGATTCCAGCTGAAAAAGAAAAGATGGTAAAATTTATCTGAAGAGAGATTTATATTGAATTATGTAGTTATATTAAAATATTTAATTTATTTTATTATAATACTTTAGCAAACAGATGAAGAAACTCTCCTTGTTCAACAATATGATGAATATTGTAAGCTTGAAACACAATCTTTAATGATTTTAGGCGAATCTTCTGTTTTTCCCACAGCCTCCTCTACACATTTGTAAATAAATTGCATTAATATTGCTTACAACTTATGATTCTTCATTGGTAATATTTTTTGTAATATACATAATTGTTTAGATTATTTATAATAATTCTGTAATAAGATTAATAGTTTTATTCAATAAATTAGTTTCTTGTTATTGAGGATCACCTTTCTTCAGTGTTTGATAGTAGTCAGAAGATTCTATTGACCTGCATTATAAATGTTCACCTGGTGCACTCATACAGACCAAAACTTGCATTAGTTAAAAAACAAAATTTTACCATAGAAAGTCAACTTATGTGCTAACAGAATGTTAATTTAGAAAAAACTTTGAATAAACTTATCTTGTGAGTATTAAATGCAAACCTTTGTTATAACTAAAACTTGTATTTAGTGTTTATTAAGTGGAACAAAAATTTAATAATTACTATTTTATTGGAGATGTTGATTTTGGTTTCAATATTAAACTGATGATGTTCAGAGCTCTCTGGTAAAGATTTGCCTCATAATATTTCTACAATGATGGGGAAAAACTTTGTTCATCTTAGCAGTTAAATTTTGAAATGTCATGGTGCTCATTTTGTAATAATTTTATTCAACTATATAATTTTAATCAACTATAATTTTATTCAATTACAGATGTTGCTTAATTCCACAAGTAATGCATGATCAGACACTACTACCAAAATTCATTAGGACAGTGTAGGTTACATTTTAAAAATGAGTTCACTGAACATCATACAATATGAAATTAGACTAGGTGGACCAAGTAAGTGTAGCAATGTGACAGATATTCCTGGGAAATCTAGATGTACTATACCTTCCTGAAAAATGCTATTTACAGGCCTGCCATGAAAAGGTTGAGGTATTTCCTAAACTTACTGCAGTAATCCTTATCCCTCTCCACTACTAGGAGTGACCGTCATCATACTGATCTGGAGAGCAATTCTGTCCACTCAACAGTAAAAACAAAATTGAAGCAGTGGGTCTCCAAACTCCAACATTCTCCTTTAGTACCCAATAGGTTTTATTTACAGTGGTGCCATGACAGAGAAGTATGGACTACTATGAACTGGCACCTGTATTGACTTTATATGCCATTTATCAAATAGAACTGGAATTCATCACTAAATTCCCCTACTGGATGCTGGATGCTTGCCAATGATACAGAAAGAGAAGATTAAGAAGGATTTCACTAGTCTCAATAGTGAATAACAAAGATTCTGTTGTAGCCATTCATGATCATCTGTCTGGAATGTTCAAAGCCTACCTGCTATGTATGTGTACTCTTACATATCCACTGCCCCCAACAAAAGCAGCTTCGATCAGAATGACCCAGATGATGATTATTCAGCAAAATGGCCACCCTGCTTTCTCTTAGTCCGATGATGAAAAAATGTCAGAACCTAAAATTTTCATTTTAGGTTCTGACGCCTTAACATTAAAAAATTAAGTAAATCTTCTCACCCTACTATCAAGTTTTATACAATTTGTATCAGGTTCAAGATCTCTAGTGGTGGATATGAGTTATCTTTAATTTGCATGTAGTTACAATTTTCATGATGAAAAGTTAACTTCATAAAAACAAATAACAATAGATAATTTCTTCAAACAAATGTAAAAGGGGTACTTCTATGGTGCATGAAAAGGATCAATTGATAGATTCAAAAATTAAATATTTTTTGTAAATAGTCTGAACTTCTAATAATTGGAAGAAAAATAGACTGTTTTCATGATGAACTCAGGATATCTTAACCAGAAGACCAACCTGGGTGATCACTGTGCTACAAGCATGCTTCTAAATGTGGGAAATCCTTCATGACACATTGCATGATAGGTGGCATAGTCCTTTCTCCTCCTACAGCTTATGTAACATCTGAACCCGCTATGAACATTTTATGAATTTTGTAATGATCTATTGAAGGCTATGGAACAGGATGATTTGATGGTACTTCACTCAAACATGAGCAAACCACAGTGATTCTCTTTTCTTGGTTGACATACTTCACACAACTTGCAAACAATTGATTTTGTTACCATTTTAACAAAAATGGATTGAAACTTTAAAACCTAAATCCTTGTTAAATATAACTACAGGGTGATTACAAATTATCATCTAGACCAGGGGTGTCCAACCTTTTTGTTTCTCTGGGCCACATTGGATGAAGTCTTGGAGTTTTGGGCCACAAGTATATATTATATAGGCCTATACTTGTGGCCCAATATACAAGTATATTTCAGGATTAACATGTTTGGATTATAATAATAAGTATTAAAACTTTATCATGAATANATATCTTTTATGGTGACTGGAAAATACCATGTGATGCCACTGGACAGCTAACTGAATGTAAATAATTTTTAAAAATTTTCTAAAGAATATGAAAATAACTTTTAACTAAATCAATTTTTTAGGTATTTCACCAATTTATTTTGAATGTAAAATAGGAGGATTTGTAAATACAATTCAACATTCTCCTTTCATACAAGATGTATATTTAGTAGTAGGAGGATGGAAAATGGCAATATGGAAGTCAGATATACCAGTATCTGTTAAATTTAAATATTTAGATTTTAAATAGTCTTAATAATTGTATAATACTGCTTTTCTTATTTCAGTATGGTCCTTTGCTTGAATCATCATGTGGGACTTGTGAAAGAACAGCCGGTCATTGGTCACTAACCCGACCAGGAATTATATTTATTGGTCAAAGCAATGGAAACATAGAAGTATGGGATATTTTACACCAAACTCACGAACCCATTTTAATTCAAAATGTTTCTGCTAATTTCATAACTAAAATTAAACCAAAAATTATGAAAGGTTAGTATCGTTCAGATGTTATTTTTGATTTGATGTAACTTTTTTGAATAATATATTTTTTATAGATAAATCTCATGTGTTAGCTATCAGTGATGCAAATGGAACTTTATATATCATGGACCTACCTTTATCACTTTGGTCACCTGTACAAAATGAGGTTAGAATTTGATTGTTTTAGAAATAAAATTATAATAGAATCCACTTATTGTAATCATAAATACTGTTATCAGGATTAGCATATCCTAAAACAATAAGCAAAGTTTATTAAGCTTTTGTGAGGATCCAGTTCCCTATAATTAGCAAAATTTTAATGAAATTCCTGGAGGATCTGACAAAATTGTGGCATTTACCTTTGTCCTTTCTAGTAATAGACATCAGTGAATTCTTGCAACCTGTCCCTGGTGACCCAAAATATAATTAAAAAAGAAAACTGAAGATTGAACATAATTATTTTCTTTTTAAGTGTCAGAGATTATTTATTTACTTTCAATTTTCACTAACACATACACAGGGTAGTCCCAAAGTGATTACAATAAGAGATTCTACTGTATCTCATGAATTAAAATCTTAAGTTTAATTATAAATAGTGTCTTTTCAAAATATAACAAATATTTTTTATTGTTGCCATTAGGAGTATCTCCTATTTCAGGTATTTCAATTTGTTGAATTCTGTTCATATTTTATCAAATCCATAGAAAAATTGGTTATCAGGCACAAAATTGAAGAATTATAAATAATATTTCCTTCTCCTCCTGACTTGTCATAAATATATCTTGCATACAATGACATATAGTATTGTTCTCCAAAACAACTTTGGTATTATTCTCAGTAAAGTTCATAGAGCTTTGAGGATACACGTCATTCATTTTTTATTGTAGTATGTGAGAAACTTTCATACAGCTGTATTACATTCAAAACAAATGCTCGAAAACCAAAGTCTGAACAATGCACTTCACGACTCGTGTGGTTTTTCTGCATTACTGATGAGACTCAAATCTCTGAGTTATGCAGTGGTCATCATTGCAGGATCTCTTGGAAACAGATGAATAATTCCTTTTACATTTTACCCTATTTAAATATGGGAAGAAGAAGGAAGCATTTTATAAAGAATTTTTTTCTTTATAAAATGCTTCCTTTTCCATAAAAGAGATTGCCTGCCTGATTATGTATTTTCCATTAAATATTAGTTTCTCTTACAGTATAAATTAAGACAAATGTGTTTATAACTTCTCTACAGATATCTATAATTCAAGGTAATTAAGCCATCATCTTGTGCTAAGTAGTTCAAGTTGAGAATTACCAATACCATTTTTTAATTATCCTTCTTTTTAACTCTGTTCTCAAGATTAAGAATAAACAGGCAAATTATCTTTTCAAATTGCAGCACAAAAATACAATTTATAATTTAATTGAAGTTGGCTTTTCCAAAATGTAATTATTCACATTTTTCACAATTTTTTGTTATTGAAAGTGGTATAAGTCCAATGTACCTAAAAAAATCATTTATTTTCTTTAACAATTTTATTAATACTAGCTGTTATCTGCAACTTCGTCCGAGCGGATTTTGCAAGCAGCGTTTGCTTGCAAAATCCGCACGGACAAAGTTGCAGGTAACAGCTAGTAACACCATTTATATTCAGTATTTCAAAAACCATAGTAATTGTTATATAATACCTACCACTGACAAACCAATAAGTAATAACAAATTTGAATTTAAAACGGTTTGAACATTTGGTTAAAAAATTGAAATATATAAAAATATTTATAACAATGTCAAGTGTATTAAATTGATAACATTTCAAAGTACTCAGTGAAGACTAAAAATCACATCTAAAATAATACAATAAGCCTTAATCCTCTTTCCGTGTGGGAATTTCGAAAAATTCCTTCTTAGGGTATGTCATGAAAACACACACTGTGTACCAAATTTCACCTCTTTAGGTTCAGCAGTTTGCTTTGGGTGATGATGAATCAATCACTCAGTCAGTCAGGACAAGTAATTTTATATATTTACTAGTGATGTAACGAATATTCGGCCACTATTCAGTATTCGGCTGAATACCGAATACCTAAAAACAGGAGTAAGAAATAACAAAACACAGTAAATTAATCATTTTGGTAACTTTTATCAATGCTGAACATACATTTTAAGATCGAGAAAGTGCAATTTTTTGCTTATTTATGTAAAAGATCAAAGGAAAAGTAATATAACTAAGTTATTTTTTTAAGAGATTAAAAAAAGGGTAACAAATCAAATGAAAACTACCTACTTATTATGTAGTTTAGTCATCTATATACTCATATATAAAAGAACAAGTCCTGATAGGATAATTAATGCAGAGCCAAAACTACTGATGTTAGAATCTTAAAAATTTGAGGGTGTGTTCCTTTTGAAAAGTTTAGATGTACTAAGAAAAGATTTTATGAAATTAAACCCTAAAGGAGTTAAAAACAGTAAAAAATTTATATGAAAATTTTTACTGCGTGGGCACATTAGATCGAAACTTAGGTCATAAAATGTGAAAAAATAATAATTAATGATCTGTAATTTTATGAAATCATCCTTTATTATAAACTTGAAAATTAAATTAACTTTTTTGTTTCATTGTACAAAATTATTTATTATAACTGAAGTCAATAAGTGGTAGGTTATGGTGCAGAAAAATCAACTTTTCCGCATTTTTGGGAAGAAGTCTGTTCCTCTTCGTATATTAGTCATCCTCTTCATGCTCCATTGGTGAGATTTCCTGTTTCATCTTGGACAAAATTAGCAGTTATTAACAGCATTGTTAAAGTTTCTTTGGTTTTGACAACTAATTCAGTTATCAGTCATTATGATCCTGTTTTTGTGGGTCATTGTATAATTCTTGCTGACAGGTCAAACATGACCTTGGGGCATGTTTGACCTGTCAGCATTCTTCAGCTATTCAACAATGTGATCATGTTTAAGAAATTCCCAATTTATTGACCAGCTAGATCTCTCTTTACTATCTCGACTCTATTATATATAGTGCAGAGAAAGTATGGCAATTAGCCAAAAACTGACACCCCAATATTTTTACACTTTTGGACTTAGGGGACCTTGAAATTTCAAGAA